TCCCCAGCTTCCCTGATTCCCAAGTTAGCGATTTTCGCGCCATGAACCGTTACGGGGCCATACGCGAGAACCACGCATGCCTGGGGGCTGAATTTGAAATCTTTGAGTTCCATGGAGACGGAAGACATAACCTCAAAATTTCAGCTCCCTAGCTTTTCTGGTCCCTGAGTTAGCGATTTTCCCGCTAAAACTTTCACCCCCTCGTACTCGGGGTCCAGATTTGCGTGAGGGTTGATATCGCGGTCCTGGGTGGCACTTGGCCGGGGAACTCACCAGTAAAATTTTGGCACCGGAGCTCGCTTGGGTGCCGAGTTGAAACATCCGGGGACAAAAACACACACACACACACCGGGATCGTCACAATATGCGTTTTTGCATTTGCACCTAAGCAAAAATGTATAAAAATCCAACTAAAAAATCCGAAGCAAAAAATTACATAGAGTTGGGCAGGTTCTTGCAGCACTTCGATGGGTATTGTCTCGGGCACTGGCACCAAGGCTTCGCCGAGGTTCATCGACAGGAAACCGCGCAACAAACGATAAAAGTCGGTGGTCAATTTCACTGCTAAACTGCTGATATCTGTGCTCATTGAAACATCAGGCGCTGAAAAAGAGTGCTGCAAAGGACAATTCAAACGATGCACTGGCGTTTCAACAAGACCGTAAAACGTTTACAGCTGGGTTTGCATGTATACATCCGCTTCAAAAAACATTCTCAGTTAAAACAAACGACAGCACAGCGTGTAAACGAATTTTGTTTCTTTTTTTGCGAAAAATTATAAAACGGAACGTGGGAGTGCTGAGTCCAAATGCAGTGAGACTGCACTATCAAAAGTAAATATCGAAACTTTTCAGCAACAACGAAAATCATAAATTCTCAAAAGCTAAAAAACATAACCATCCGGAGAGCCACAAAATCGCGAGATGCATATCATATTTTTGAAACTACTCGATCTCCTACTCAAAATCGTTTTATAACTAATGATAAGAGCTTATCATTTACCACTTACTGTCTCCCTACAAAAACTGGAGCTCAGATGAAGCTGTCCTGATTACATATCTTTCAGTCGATTTTTCTAAATTATTTTTCTACTGGACGCAGCTTCTTCTAGCAGAATGTCGAAAATCGAGCAAATACGCCAACAGGACAAGCAGTTTTTCTATTATTCGTTCATTCATTTCAATTGAAAAAAAAAAGTACTAGAGTACGCTAGAAAGTCAAACCCGCCATCAGCTTGCTTCAAAGAAACTCTCGAAAGGCAGTAATCATCGATATCCTGGCAAACTAACGGTTTCTCTTGGCTTCCGCTTCCACATAGACTACTTCTCATCTGCTTCCGCCCTCCAAAGAGAGTGAATACGAAATAAGTTGTGACTTTTGACTAAAGGCAGTTTATTATTATTGCTGCTGCGTTATTGTTACTGTTACTATCGCTGATAACACGCCGCTAGCAATTTTGCCATTTTGGTTACTATTATACTCCCAAACACTATCATTACCATTATTACCGCTCTTATTATGCATTTTGTGCTGTGTAACAGCGTTACAAAACGCATATTGTCACGGGGTTGTCTGTGT